ATCTTAACAGTAGAATATTTTAGTAGAAGTGAATTAATAGGAGTTGGTCGATAATAGTATTGATTTATATAAGTCGTAGTGATGTGGTTGTTATTAATTGGTTAACTTGCAGGAAGTGATGAATTTGTTGGGTTGCCTGTATTGATTGGCTAAAACAAAGTTGTAGGCTATTAACAGTAAAACAATAGCAGAGATTATTTGTGGTAGTAGGATGTAATTGCAGGAACCTTATCAGAAAACTATTAATAGTATAATAGCATAGTACATGTGGCAGGAATAAGTTGACAGTAGGAATTAATTGTGAAATAGTAATAGAAAGTTATTAGCAATAAAAAAACTGTAGAGAATAAATTAGTAATACTAATAGTAGTGGAAATTGTTGATAGTAGTACTAGCTTTTATAATAGTTGTAGCAGGTTAATATTAGAGGAATTGTCGCAGAATGTCTAATAGTCAAATATAGACGTATAGCTGAATAATTATGTACTGTTATTGCAATGGGCTCCGATTGTATTTGTGAATTTTAATATGTTGTTGTAATGTCAATATTGTTGACGATGGGAAGCTGCAGGATATACCGATGTTGTTGAAATCACTACGCCAAAAATGATTTTTTGTATCACCTAATTTAATAGCACTTTTAAAAGAAATGCTATTAAAATGGAAAAAACACATTTATAATAGCACTTTTTAATCGGGCGCTATTATATAATACAAACTATGTAATTATGATAGCACTTTGTACCAGAACGCTATTATTAAACTTCTTTAAGATAGCACTTTGTATAAAACGCTATTATTTGACTACCTATATAATAGCATTTATTAAAAAGCGCTATCTTATATATAATAATGAATTAATTAATTAATTGATAAAAAAAAAGTTATTTCCATTACAAACCGAAACAAAATAAAAAAACACAGGAAGGAGATTCCAAATCCATTACTTGACTGGCCTCCGACGACACGCCGGCGACCGCGACGACAACTCAACTGCTTCTGCAACAGCACAATATCGACGCACTCCGGCCCCCTGTAGCTCACCGGCAGCCACCACTGGGCGTTCGACTCTGACCTCCATCTCCAGCCACTCTCGGTTTTGCTTGCAGGTAAGCAATTTTTTTCCTCTATTTTCTCGATTTGTTGTGATTGTTGTTGGAGAACTTAAATGCTTGATTTGAATCTTGGATTTCTATTTTGTTGTTGTTCTTATTTTAAGAGAAAGATTGATTTTGTTTTGGGGTTGAAATGGATGAGAGATAGAAACCTTACCACCACCACAGAGTAAAAACCTTACCACCACCACCACCAATCACAACAAATCTCAAGATGTGTGCATTATAATTTGTTAAGTAGGTGACCAAACCTTACCACCACCACAGAGTAAAAACCTACCAAAGCATCAAGGTGACCAAAAGTTACCACCACCACAGAGTAAAAACCTACCAGATTCAATTCTACTTCTTAGCATCACCCTGTCAATCAACAAGCTCTCAGCTGATGATTGGAAACTATAGTCACACATGTCACCATAACTTGATCTCATACTTGGCAACTTTGAAACACTTTTTTCAAACTTTTTTATGTATTGTTGGATATCTTGTTGAGCTGTAGTGCCTTCAGATGGTTTCTGTGCAAAGGAGAAGCAGTGTTTAGAGTCAGTTTCTTTGCTATCAGCAGTTGAGCTGACTTGTTCATGGATAGCTTCCTCGGAATCAATGCTGGCCGGTGGCTGCATTGTGTCATAATGGATATGGTGTGATTGTTCTCGAGTGCCGGATTGCTGCAAAAATGTAAAACATATAGATTATGCAAGAAAAGAATAAAAAGATGCACTTGTTAAGTAGAAAGTAAATTACTGACGAAATTTGAAGGCGGAGTATTTGAACTTGCCTCGGTAAAACGAGATGGAGTAGGTGGACCAACCATACTGAGCGAAGGATCCTCTTGAGATGAAAAGTCCGAACTATCGAATGTTGATAGTGATACACACTCGTCAAAATAAGCCTTGGCATCTTCTGCAAGACGTTTCGACATCCTTTTTCTTTCAATGCTAGACTGTAACCGTGTTTTGGATTCATCAATAATGGGATAGAAACATCTAATGTAACATGTGGAGTAAATATAATGTTAAAGGAACCTACTTTTCTTGATGGACGAGACTTTGGTATATTAGGAGTCTTGGGATATGGAAGAACTTCTCTCAAGATTCTATCCAGTTCTCTCACTCGATGTTCTTCAACTGCCAGATCTGCTCTAAGACGTCTAGCTCGCTCTTTGGCCTGTAAATATGACAAGTTCTGCTCAATATAAAAGAACGAGACGTTAACCATACTTCATCTTCAAGTATAAATGGGAATACTACCTCTTCAAGCTTTTTGGTATACTCTCTTCTAGTCTCCAATGCTAATTCTATTGTACCAGGGCTTAGCAAGTCAGGATGAATATCAGCCATATCGGTGACAGTAACGGCTGTAGCGTTACTCACTTGAATAGCCTAAAATTCCCGAAACAAGAAGCAAGTTAGAGAATAGCATAGGATGAATCACAGTTAGTTATATCAATAGGCAGTTAACTTCAAGCTGGCAAGGAGAAAGTTATAGTCTCATGAAACTTACACTTTCGAGGTCAATCTGAATCTCATAAATAGCCCGCCTAACTTCAGAACGAACTGTTTCATATATATCACTGCCTCCTAGCTGATCCCTTTGTACTGACTACACAAGTCAAAACAGAGCGACTTTATACAAAAAAGTCAATTTCAAGCATACGTAGATAAGAGTAGGACTACAACAAAGAGTAAAAGATTTCCTATAGAAATACAACCTACATTTTGTACACAAACCGCTTTGATAGTTTTCTCATCACAACCAAATTTCCTGTCGCCATTTTGCACCAGTTTAACTTTTTCCTGCACATTACCAAAACTGTTTTTGTTCCACTCTTTTAGGTTAGCTTTAAGAATCCTCAGATTTTTGTCTAAAACATACACGGGACAGCCATACACTTTGGAATGCCAAGTTTGAGAAACGAGATTCAAGCAATCTTTGTGAAGGGTCCACATATTCATGAATTTAAAATTAGATGTGACTTTAGGATCATTATACTCGAAGTTTAGAAGCAGGGGATAGTGATCAGACTTGTTTTTGACAAGAGTATGGCAGGATGTTGAGGAGCAAGTATCGATCCAATGGAAATTACAGACAGCTCTATCGAGCCTTTTCTCAGAATGCTTACGGCCCAGGGGTGCTTACTTGGCCACTCTTAACAAAACAGTAGGGGTGATATTAGACTTACAAAAGCACCATAAGTTAGGCAAAAGATCATGCGTATAATTCATGGCAAATAGCTTAAGGTTGAGCTTCTTAAGCCAAGTTTGAAGGAATTTAGAAAAGTCCATCCAAGGTTCTGCTACCAAAACCAAGTCTAGATTGTTAACAGAAATTAATCTTTTGAGAGCAAGTCTGGAAGAGGCATTTGCAATTCCTCTAATATTCCAGAATATGCACTTCATGAGAAAGGATTAGATGTACTAGGTTTATCCCTAGTTAATTTCTTCTTCTTGGATTTTTTCGAATTCCTTTTTGAACTAACAAGTTTGAAGCCATCTGTTTCCAAACTCACCTCCTAAGCAGCCATATTCGCCCATGATTCAGATAAAAAAATTTGTATGTTGCTGTCATTTCCTTGCAGATTGGGTTGTGTCTCTTCCACTCTTAATTTATTAATAAACAAACTATTTTGGGCTTTTGGGTTATGCGCAATAGCCCGACTTATACACCCTCAAAGACGGTTCTTTTTATTGGCATTTTATTTTCATAAGAAGTGCTTATAGATAAACAAGTGATGATAGAACCTACACTTGACATCCATTCAGTGACTTCTTTGATACCACGATGCTGAGAAAGTGCAGACTTGTTGGTGTGGCAACAGTTGAACCTATTGATGATTTCATTATGAATTCTTTCCTTGGTCTACCAACTGAGTGTCTTGCTGAATTAAATGCTGTCATCTTCATTTCTTCTACATCATAAGAGTTGAGGTTTCATTGCAAAACTAAATACAAGAAGATTAAAAAAACATAAGACAATAATGAGTTGTATTATACTAAGATAGGAATATGTATACCTAGAGACATGACTTCTTATTCATGGTGACAGAATACTCAATATCTTCTTTACTGTTTCCAAGTTGCAAAATGTACCTATTTTCTTTGCCAGCCATAAAATTTACTTCAATTTTCTTAAAAGGTTTTGCTATTCTAAGAGTACAGGTTAAGAATATTATAATTAGAAAACATTAAGTAAAAAAGTATTTCTACAAATAATTAATTAGTCTGTGCCCTTAAAAGATGGATAGTTTTCTTAATAATGGTTGGTTATGATTTCTACAAATAATTAAGTAATCATATAATATTATATTCTAATGATTTCATATTTCTTTAAGACTATAATTAATATTTATATTTTATATATGACATACTGTGTTTTTATCCTGAGATAGTAGAATATAAGTCCACTTGGTTGATTATTTTTCAAGCGTAAAATTTAGTCTTCTAAGTCCACCTGAGCCGGATAACAATCAGGTCTAGATTTTAGAAAGTAGGAAACTAGCCAATGTACCAAACTCAATCCTCCACTTGTAACAATGCAACTAGTGCAAAGGCATTTCATTACCCTACATTCTATAACACTTCTCTTGTACATTTTTGGACACCAACACCAAGGTTATAATGAAATTATAAAATCTTCCTATTCCAAATTGTAATACCATTTTATCAACATAAGATGAGGTCTTGTACACCAAAATTGCCATAAAACATTAATTACATTTCCTTTTCTTTTCTTTCTTTTTGGTTGTTTCTCTTTGTTGTGTGATATCTTCTAAACAAAACCAGTATCCCCTTCTGCATTCTCCAAGCCAGAAAATCTTCCAGCTCCATGTCTCATGTATTGCTATTTGGTATAACAGTAATTACTAACAAGACCTTCATAATAAATTTATTCAAATGCAAGCCTTTGAGTGCCAACCAGTGAAGCATACTGGCCCTTTTTAGCCAACAGCTCAAAATGAGTGCCTAGTTCCGCAACCCTCCCACCTGAACAGAGTGCAATTTGATAAGCATTTTGAACTGTGCTTAACCTGTGAGCTATGACTAATGTTGTCCTCCCCTTCATCAAATGGTTGAGAGCATCTTGAACCAAGCGTTCACTGACGGTATCCAGAGCACTTGTAGCCTGCAGAAGCAAATAATATCAAAATGGATACAGCTTATATGGATTCAGTCAGTGTTGTCAAGTACCAACTATAACAGTGCTATACCGCTGTAGTGTAGGGGAGTTTTTAACAAACCTTCTGCAATACACAATTTAGTACAACAATTTAGTACGTGTTGTTAAATAACAACTATAGCACTGTAATCTAGTGGAATTTGAAGAAACGACTTTTCTTTGTGATCTGCTATAGACAACACTGGCTGCAAAACTAATCCACCGGTGTAGCAAGTTTCTGGTATAGCAAGTTTCTCACGCAACTCCACCGGTGTAGTATGCACACTCAGCCGAATCACCCCAAGGCTGCTATTTTCCTTCATATATCCTGCTCAAACTCAAGTTCATCATAAAGTCAAAATCAAATTCATAATCTCATATGGATCATAAAGTCAAAATTAAATTCATAATCTCATATGCTATATGACTCTTAAATACATAATTTGGTTGTTAGAACCAATTTTTAACTAGTTATATATGTTACTTGTTAGGAAATATGGATCGAAAATGGATGTTTGCCAATCGAGCGTCAAAAGAATATGAAGATGAAGTTCGTGAGTTCGTTAGGTTTGCTATTGCTCATGCTGAAGACACTAGTAAAATCATATGCCCTTGCTTAGAATGTTGTTATACGGATGTTAGTGCAAATGTTTTGGAAGATCACTTAATATGTAATGGAATTGATAAAAGCTACACATGCTGGATAATGCACGGGGAAAAAAAAACCAAGTCCACAAAAAGGAGCAATGGGAGAGATTCATCAAATGATTTTGAAAAAGATACGAATTATGCGTTTGATCGAGTTGAAGAATTTGTCAATGTAATTGAGGAAGATCTTCGTGATTGTCCTCAAATGTTTGAGCGGATAGTAAGTGATGCAGAGACTCCGTTGTATGATGGATGTACTAAATTCACAAGACTGTCAACGGTCTTAAAGTTGTATAACTTAAAAGCACGCCATGGATGGTCCGATAGGAGCTTCACAGACTTGTTGACTCTGTTAAAGGATATTTTGCCTGAGAACAACGTGCTCCCTAGTCGAACGTATGAGTCTAAACAATTGTTATGTTCTATTGGCATGAGTTACGAGAAGATACATGCTTGTCCAAATGATTGCATTTTATTTCGCAAGGAGTATGCATCGTTGAATATGTGTCCTAAATGTAGTGCCCCACGCTATAAGAAGAAAGAAACAGCTCCAGCCAAAACGCTATGGTATTTTCCGATAATACCAAGATTTAGGCGCATGTATCATAATGCAGAAGACGCAAAGAACTTAACATGGCATGCAAATGAAAGGGTTGTTGATGGAATGCTCCGACATCCCACAGATTCTCCTCAATGGGCAAAAATTGATCATGATTACCCAAATTTTGGGAAGGAAGAAAGAAACCTACGTCTTGCATTGTCTACTGACGGAATAAATCCTCATGGTATTCAAAGTAGTAAACTTACTTCTTGGCCAGTCATTTTGTTGATTTATAACCTACCTCCATGGCTATGTATGAAGCGCAAATACACGATGTTGAGTATGTTAATTTCTGGGCCCAAGCAACCAGGAAATGATATAGATGTATACTTGGCTCCATTAATTGAAGATTTAAAGCATTTGTGGGAGACAGGTGTGGAGGTATATGATGAGTATAAAAAAGAATCCTTCAACTTGAGGGCTATGTTATTTGGAACAATCAATGATTTTCCTGCCTATGGGAATCTATCAGGCTACGGTGTCAAAGGAAAATTTGCATGCCCCATATGTGAAGATGGTACACATTCAATACGATTGGAGTATTGTATGAAGAATGTATTTCTTGGACACCGTAGATTTTTAAATACCAACCATCATTTTCGAAAATGGAGAAAAGCTTTTAATGGGGAATCAGAAGAAAATAGAGCTCCTTTGGCTTTGACGGGTGATCAATTATACCAAAAGGTAAAGCTTTTGAGCACTAATTTTGGAAAGCCATTTTCAAGTGAACTTGTAAAGGGAGGATGGAAAAAAAAGTCAATTTTCTTTGAATTGCCGTATTGGAAGTCATTGTATGTTAGACATTTCCTTGATGTGATGCATATAGAAAAAAATGTGTTTGAAAGTGTCGTTGGTACATTACTCAATCTTCCAGGAAAGTCTAAGGATGACATTAATGCAAGGTTAGACCTGCAAAGTATGGGATTAAGAAATGAGTTACAGCCGGTTAAGAGGGATGGGAAGCGTACATTTCTACCTCCAGCAGCTCATACTCTGTCAAGAAAAGAGAAAAAGATCTTGTGTAAGGTTCTTCACAATGTTAAAGTTCCAGAGGGCTACTCATCAAACATTAAGAGTTTGGTATCTATGAAAGATCTCAAATTGAAGGGTTTAAAGTCTCACGATTGTCATGTTTTAATGGAGAACTTTCTTCCAGTGGCTATACGTTCCATTTTACCTGAAAATGTGCGATGGACCATAACTAAACTTTGTTTTTTCTTCAAAGCTATTTGTAGCAAAGTTATTGACCCTGAGAAGTTACCGACGTTACAAAAGGAAATTGTTGTCACATTATGTGAGCTTGAGATGTATTTTCCACCCTCATTTTTTGACATAATGGTTCATCTTACAGTCCATCTTATAATGGAAACACAATATTGTGGACCAGCTTATATGAGGTGGATGTACCCGATTGAGCGTTACATGAAGATAATAAAAGGGTACGTGAAGAATCGAAGTCGACCAGATGGTTGTATTGTTGAACGATATTTAGTTGAAGAAGCCATTGAGTTTTGTACTGAATACCTCTCTAATATTGAGCCCATAGGTATTCCAATGTCACGACACTCTGGAAAAACAACAGGGGAAGGGATTGGTGCAAGTAAACTAGTAACCATGTCAGACATCGAATTGGAGCAATCACACTTGTATGTTCTACACAATGCTGATGAGGTTGAGCCATATGTTGAAAAGCACAAAGAAATACTTCAAAGTTTGAACCCTAATAAGAGTGAAAATTGGTTAACAAGAGAACACAATCGAAGTTTTATACCGTGGCTAAAAGAACACATTTTTTCAGAATTTGCTAAAAATCCTGATTCAATTTCAGAAAGATTGAGATGGCTAGCAAATGGTCCAAATTCAAATGTTCTATCGTACTCTGGTTATATAATTAACAAGTATACATTTTATACAGAAGAACATGATCATCAAAGCACTGTGCAAAATAGCGGTGTCACACTCGTAGCTGAATCTGTGCATATCTCAAGTTCCAAAAATAGAAATCCCGCATTTTCCAAATTGTCATATTTTGGGGTCATTGAACGTATTTGGGAATTGGATTACTCATGCTTTTAAGTGCCCGTGTTTGGTTGTAAGTGGGTTGACAATAACAATGGCCTTCAAGTTGACCCTGGGTTCATGAAGGTCGATCTTAATAAAGTAGGGTATAAAGACGAGCCTTTTATTTTAGCATCACAAGCTCACCAAGTGTTCTATGTCACTGATCCTGCTGATGAAAAGTGGTCTATTGTGTTTCTAAGTAACAAAATAAATGATCACACCACTCCAAATATAGATGTTGAGGATGACCCTTTCTTTAATACTTCACAATCCCTTGAGTCTGAATCAATTATAGATGATATTCTTTATATGAGAAACGATCACAGTGATGGGATTTGGATCAATCCATCATTTTATGTAACTAGAAAACAGAAAAGTAGGAATCCAACTACAAGGAAGAGGAAAAGGCCGACTTAATCTTGTATGGTTTATTTATTTGTTTTTCATTTTTTTATTGTTATTGCTTCTTAATGTTATTCTTGTATGGTATATAACTTTTAAATTTTTATAGGTGAAATATGGCTTCTATTGATGATGAAAGTGGTTTGTCTAGTAAGAAAACAGTTGGTAAACGTGGTGTGACCCGATTGCAAAAAATTCACAAAGCCAAAAGCAATGGAAAGAGAATTGAGGTAAAATAGCTAGAGTTTTATGATACTGTTTACTCTCTTGGCAATTTTCCTTTTACTGAACTATGTATGAGTGATGGTTACATACATGATTATCTTTTATGAGTAAGTTGTTTGAAACTATTTGAATGTTAAACACTATTAGTGAGACTGTTGATTCTTTATTTGCACTTTAATTTTGTTATAGGTTCAATGGAATTCCAGAGGTCAACCAATCAAGCATAATAGCAAGACTTTTGCTAGTTTCATTGGTGTCACAGTTCGTCGGTTAGTTCCAATAAGCTTGGACAATTGGAGCGCGAAAAAAAATAAAGAGGCTGTGGGGGTTTATAAACAAAACATTTGGGATGAAATTGAAGTAACACACTAACTTAAGCTAGTTGTAAAATTTTAATTTCGTTAATCTATCGATTGGGATGTTTAAATAAACTGAACTATGTTTTAATAAACTGAATTATTTGCAGAAAGCTTTTATAATTGGCGAGGAACATCGTGCCTTTGTATATAGAGAAGCTGGAAAGTTGCACAGGGCATTCAGAACAAAAATGGCGAGGTCATATCTAAAAGATAGTAAGGGTGGTTTTGTTAAACATCGTCCGGCCAAATATTCTTTTTGTATAAAACAAGATGATTGGGATAAATTTGTAGCCCAACATATGACTGCAAAGTTTCAGGTAATACTTTTATCACTTGGATATGGATCCTTAAAGTTTTGCATGATTATAGTATTAGTGATAGTGTTGTGGGATGCGTTTTTTATAATAAATGCAGAAAGTTAGTGATGAGAATCGAGAAAGAGCGTTAAATCCTCAACATCCCTATAGAAAGTCACGTTTAGGGTGTGCTCGTCTTGAAGCTGATATGGTAAGTATGTGTATAAATGTACTATACAATATTATAAAAAAATTTAATTGCTATGTTAATTTGTAAAAATGTATATACATGTAGAAGAGTCAGAAGTTGGTGAGATAAACCGTAGTCAAGTGTGGAAGGCTGCCCGCGTCAATAAGAGCGGGGTGATTGATAATGAGAATGTTCAAAGAGTTGTGGATCAATGTGTAAGTCGAATTTTAGATGTGACACTATAGATGTTATTTCCAAAATGCTCACATTATAGATGTGACACTTTTTCTATACTCATCATTGTTACCGAATTTGTATTTTGTTAGTTAGTTTGAAGTCATTAAACTCGATTTTCCTTAATTAATTGAGTCTTTGTGTCTTATTTTGATAGAATAGCCATTAATTGCAACTTGTATCTAACTATTGGTTATTTCTTTTATACTTATCAATGTCAGGAGAAGTTAACAGAAGCTCTATCTGAAGAAGAGAGACAAGACCTTGGTCCCACAAACATATTATTTGAGGCTCTTAATCTCCCAAACTACTCTGGACGTGTTAGGACTTATGGTTTTGGGGTATGTTCTAGGGACATATTACCACGCCAAAATCGCCCCACACAAATGGATTTTGAAAATTTTTATGGCTTTTGTAATTCACTCAAAAGTAGATTGGAGGTGCTAGAGAGAGAAAAGATTGAGAGAGATAAGTTGGATAGAGAGAAGCTAGAGAGGCAACAAACTGAAGAAGTGGAAGAAAGGCAACAACCTAAACAAGTGTCAGAGAGGTTGCAACAACCTGAAAAAGTGGCACAGAGGCAACACCTTGAACAAGTGGTAGAAAGGAAACAACCAGAAAAAGTAGCTGAGAGTCGACTACCTAGTGATAAAGGTTCTTGCAACCCTGGATCATTTGGCAACATTCCCGAGGTAATTGGTTTCTTTATTATCTCTCAAATTCGATATGTTTGTTCTTTCAATAATGATGTTAATCTTTTTATTCATATCTTATTGGTTTAGGGTCTCTTTCCTGTTAATATATATTTATCCTCCCCGAGTCGTTGTTTGGTTGCTCGTGGAAAACTATATAACACCAAAGGTAACACGGTACATGGCATGACGTTACCACCTGGATATGTCAAGGTTAATATCGAAGTTGCTATTGTGCCAAATGCCCCATTGCCTATATCTGTTGAAGATGGAGATGTATCCATGGTTGGTCAAGCAATAGGAACAATTGTGCCATGGCCAACGAAACTTCTTGAATTTGTTGCTGAATGTGAAAAGGTAAATTACTTATAATCAAGTTGCTTGATCGCTACTTGTTTTATTATTTGATCACTAATATTAATTAATACAACTTTTTAGATTCCTGGTCAATCCCAAAACAAAGGTAACAATATTCAACACAGTGTTGAATATTCAGTTTCATCACCCAACAAAAGTAACAAAAAATTCAAAATCGAAGAGTCTCTTAGAGTTGGCGGTTCAGCTGGTATTGCAAATTTACCTTTCCTTGATATGTATGTGAAAAAGATGGTGAGGGTTGGATCATTAATTCAAATAAAAATGGAGGAAAGTATATTTGGTGAGGAGTTTTTAGAGCAACTACGTGTAGAGAGTATAAAGGAGATTCTTGATCACAATTGGTTAAGTGCATCTATTATCACTGTATTTTCCAGGTACCTCTATTATTACAAATATTCTCTTATTTGACAAATATATTATTAATATTAATGTTATTTGTATTGTTGACTAATATTCACATTGGTGACAAATATATTAATATCAATTGTTGTTCATTTCTAGGTATTTGTATGACAAGTTTATTAGTCCAAATGGATTAATAAATAAGTTCTCTTTCATATCTCCACATGTATCACGGGAGGATAATCTAGGAAATGGTATAGCAAAAATACTTTTGAAAGATGAGGAGTTCAAGGATAAGATGATTCTTGCACCTTGTAATCTAGGGTGAGATTTATATTCAAAAAGTTATTAAATTAACGAGAAAAAACTCTAATGAATGTGAATCTTTAATGCAATATTTAAATGTTGGGTGCAGGAAACATTGGGTGTTGCTTGTCATCAATCTCAATGCTGAGGTGATATATTACATGGATCCGTTGAATGGTGAGCCAACAAAACATCAAAATTTTAAAACAAAGTTTGAGAAGTGAGTATAGACTCTTTTAATTTAAAATTTATGTACGTATTATTATTTATATAATTACTTATTTGAAGTTAATTTCATTTTGTTAGCGCTTTGCAAATTTATCGTGCTAATAGTAGTTCTAAAGTGCCTAAAGTGTCAAAGTCAAAGAAAATCTCATGGCAAAAAATAAAGGTATGTGTCTAAATTAATGTTATTTTAAAACAATTATGTGGAGTAAAATTAATCGATATAAATTTTTTTTTTGTAGTGTCCTCGTCAAATTAATGGCGTTGATTGTAGATACTTTGTAATGCGATTTATGAAAGAGGTCATCATGGAAAATGAATTTATGATCCCCACAAATGTACGTGATTTTAATTATTATTATTATTCTTTTGTAAATTAAATTAATATAATTTAATTCTAACACGATTAATTGTTGATGTTTTCATATTTGAAGTACTTTTTTGACCACAAATGTCGTACCTACTCTCATGATAAGTTAACTGAGGTTAAGGAGGATTGGGCTACTTATGTGGTGGATGATGTTTTCGGTGAGTTTTTCCTTGACTTGATACTTGATAAACAAGACAAATATTACTCATGGATTTAGAGTTCAAATGTTTTGACTTAGATGTTTAATTTTAATTTTTGAGTTGGATTTAGAGTTGTCGTATAAATGATTTTAGTATTTTATTGGTTTAGAAGATATGGCACAGAGGTACTGAGTGTTCTTTCTTGGTCTCGAATTTAAATTTTGAAATAGGAAAATACGGAAAAATGACTTATATCTTATTGTATGATTGATTTATAGTTTTCCGTTTCTACTTGAAATTTTTAGATATTCGTAGTAACAATTGTAAGGTGTTTGATATCTAGTTCTGGATCATGAAAAGAAAGTTACACACAATTAAGTGTTTATGTATATTTTGAGAATTTGAATTATATTCTGTTTAGTGTTTATATGCATCTAATAATGGAAATTATGGTCTACATATTTACAAGTCATGTTCTTGTTAGACTTAATTAGTTCAATTATTGCATTAGTTATATCGATTTATTGTTATTAGTTTATAATAATCATTCCTTATTTTATGCGCTTCTTGTTAGACCCATATTAAATGTTTGATTATTCTTTATATGTTGAATTAGTTTTTATTGTACAATACATAATCAATATTCCTTCTATGATACAGGAAAACAAGAAGCAATTATTTTGCCTAATTAGTGATTGTATCTATGAGTTCAACGCTTTTGGATCATGAAGGTGGTTACTACATGGGATTGTTTTGTTATCCTTTCTTATTTTTTTGGTGTTTTGTTTAGAGAATTTGATTGTATGTTTTTGGATTTGGATTGAAGTACTCATAGATGGGCATCTACAAATTTGGCTATGCAAACGCCCTCTTAATATTCTATATGTTATGATATTTGGAAACAATAGGATTTGGTAATTTAAAATGTTATTTGGTATTTGATGGATCATAATATATATGCAATGAGTAACTTAAAGCATTATTTGTGTTGAATTCAATATAGTTATTTTATATTTACACCAAAAAAAATGATTGTATAAGAAAAAATATTGTACTGTACTTATTAAAAATATTGTACCAAATATGTACCATTTATTAGCACTTTATTTGAAAGTGCTATCAAACATATGTTATATATTAGCGCTTTTTGTTTAGAGTGCTATAAAAAAACAAACAAAAAACATGCAAAATACTGACTTTGATAGCACTTTAATTAAAACGCTATTATAAATTGGTACTTTAATAGCGCTTTTAAAGTGCTATTAAATAAGAAATATTTACAATAGTGGCGCGGTTAATAGCACTTTTAAGCGCTATCAAAAACAAAAAAAGCGCTATTAAATAGCTTATTTGGCGTAGTGAATGCCTCTAATTCCTGGTAGATATTATGTTGTAGGCTAATGGCCAAGGTTTATTTATATTAAGTTGATGTTGAATTGTTGTTAATGTTATAGGTTTATGGACAACGTTGAATTATGTTAAGTTAATGTTCACTTGTTGTTGATGTTATAGGCTTATGGCCAACGTTGATTTATGTTGAGTTATTATTTGTTGTTGTTGCTACATTAACATTGAGTCACATACATTGCATATCAAGTTGGAGCCGATGCTCGTTATGTTGGTCTGGATTGGCAAAATATAAAGTTGAAGGCTTACTCTTTGTTGATGCCTCTATTTATTGGCAGATTATTAAGTTGGGAGTTTTGCTCTATTGGTACCACATGCATTTGCATAAAGACAAGTTGAATTCTGTGTTGCATTCTGAGTAGTTGTGTGGTTGAATTAATTATGTTAAATATTGTTAAAAAGATGTGAAGTGGTGATCTGTATGAACTAATTATAATATATTATTTATCATACATTCTATTATATTGTTTGATATCTCACCCCTTTTGTTTGAATGTTACTCCTATGAGGTAATCCAGAGTGAAGGTTGTTTACCTTCATTAGTTAGAGTCGGTGTCATCACTCTGATACGTAACACTCATGGGGGAAGAACGCTTGTTGCTTTATTGTTGTTATTACTTCAGTTGTTAAATTTTAAGTTGATTTTGTTAAGTACTTGTTTATTTGAAGTTGTTTTCAGTTGGACAAATATGTTATGTAATTTGAGTTGAAAGTTGTGATTCCGCTGCTTAATTATAAAAGTTGTTTTGTTTTCAAAGACTAATCTATGTTGCTATCGGTTCATTCGAGTTTCAAGTGTTATGTATCTATGTTACATGTGATTAAATTTCGTTGTTATAAGTTGAAAGTGTAGCATCCTATTTATATGTCAAAACTTTATAACTCTGATTTTGTTAATAATCGCCGGGTAGAAATGGGGTGTTACATTAGTGGTATCAGAGCAGGTCGGTCCATCTGACCAAGTTGTTGAGTCAGTAGAGTAGTGTGACAGTTGAATATTATTGATGTGTTGTTTCTTAGTGCGTTTGTGCGACACACTATTGATACTTGTTTTCTTTTTCAATCGATTGTATGAAGGAGTTGGTTTGAAGATAAGTGGGGGAGAAGCTTTGATTCTCGGATATGTTTTGGTTGTGAGATGTTAGTTCAGTATGCTGTTGATAGCGACAGTGCAAATATTGTTAAAGTTTTATTGTTTCCCGAATTTGAAGGTGACATGGATTAAAGATTTTGTTTGTTAATCAAGTTGGAGCATCTTGAGAAAGGCTGATCAGACATTGTTGATGTTTACTTCTCAAAGGATGAGGAGCAACGTAATGTTTGTTGATATACGAGTAGAGTATAAATCCCTGATGTTTTTGAAGGTGATTGTTAAGTAACAAGGATAATTTTTAGAAGATGAAATTTAGAAAGTTATGATGTTTCAGCGCTGCTGGTGGACTGTGAAGTAGTCGGTTTGAGTATCCCTTACATAAGATGTCAACGTTTGAACGGTGATAGAGTGACATAGTGCTGTAGACCTTGTCGTGGGATCCTTGTGAGTGATTATAAAAATTGTTGAAATTGTTGGAATACTTTGAATCGCGAGTCAAATTCAGAAATTCGAGGAGATGAGTATGATTTCAAGAATGGTTAGTGTTGGTACTGGTAGAAAGAAATTATGTTTTGATGTTACCGTAAGGTGTGTAATAGTATGTCGCTGCATGACGTTGGTGTTCGTGTTTTCGGATAACTTTGGAAATCCATATCTTGTTTCTGAGTATGAGATTGATGTTCCGTTTGAACCTATGAAGAGATAAAAATATATTCTATCCTATGAAAGTATTTTCGAATATGGTAGATGAATTCATATATGGAGTGACTTTGAAGTCGGTTACGAATCTAGCGGCTTTTTGGGCATAAATGGTTATTATCGCAGTTGTTTGAGACGAGGTCAAGCGTAATATATGGTTGGCGAATAAGTTGAGAAATGAGATGATCAATATTAAAAAGGACGTGAAAGTATTGGAGAAGCGCGTAGAGATGCAGTTTATGATGATTAACAATGATTATAATGAAGATGTCCTTTTAAAGGAAGATGATTTTAAGAGGAATTATAGTCATGTTTATGAAGCCAATGTAGTGGCATGTGTAAAAGAAGAATTGGGGAGGTTATATCACCAAAATGGTGTGGAACGGCATTTTTGAGATTTGAATTGGAACGAGATGACATGTAATGTACTGGTATAGTAGTAATTCTTGAGTTGGAGAATACTTAACTTTCGTGTGAGATGGAAAGTGTAATATGTTGAGCGTTGGTGGCTCATCGACAAGAATCGGATGAGAGGGAAATTATGGAAGTATTTGTAAACCTCATTGGAGATTATTAGATTATGGTGCTTTAGGTGACTTGATTACACGTTCTAAAGGAACACTATTATAGTTTGGTAACGATGATTTATACTCCAGTATGGTTGTCGGCTATCTATTGACAAATTGAGGAATTGGTCATCCTTAATCTCTTGTTGATAGTAGACAAGATCGTGTTGATAGTGATTGATGTTATATTGTGAGGATAGTCGCTCATCCGTTGTTTGAATTTATAGAGGAGTGGCTAGGAAAGAGTTGAGGCGTATTGAACAATTCGGAGTAACAGGCTTATATGCGAGCTAACGTCACAAAGTGAAAGATTAAGAATATCAAGTGAACAACGATTTTATGGAGGATGTTAAAAAAAGTCTGAAACTAGATTGAAACTTATAAATAATATACTTGATGGAAATTTTAATAAGGACAATGACTTAATATGGATGATCAGAGTTGCGCAGCTGAAGCATGATATGACGCAGTTGTATGCGTGTACGACTCGTTAGAAGTGAAGGGCTAAATATCAGAAGCCTATGGGGATGATATGTCTTGATCTACATGCTTAATTTGGTGGATTGTTGATATAGGGATGATGTGCCAGGGTATTGTGTTTTCTCGTAAATATTTGCTGATTTTATAAGGATATTAATGTGGTTGTTGGTTGATGGCGGATTGTGTGTATACTTGTTGAGTTATACTGTTAACTTGATGTTATAATGATTTTGTTCCCGTTGTCGTGATTTTGTTGTTGGTTATTGTAAATGATGGATAGTACTCTATAATATGATGAAGTTGATTATGTTGGCAATGTTAATGTCACTATAAGGGTGATACGACGATATGAATATAGTTATTGATATTTTATTGATAATTTACATATATATATATATATATATATATATATATATATATATATATATATATATATATATATATATATATATATGGGAATGAAATTGTGTATGTGTTTTGGTGTTGGAAATGTTGCTAAGATGATAATGTGATGTTGTATATCCAAGTATAAGTGTGTTATGGTTGTTACTACTTTAAATGTTGATATATCAAGATATTGTTGAAGCGGTTGACAAGTTATTAATGATTATGTCGTGAAGGTGTTGAAAGATTAACATGTGTGTATTGGATTTAAATTGTGTTGAGTTATTGTTATATCGAGAAAGTAGTGGTCGAAGTGTTGACAAACGCGACTTGGGGATCAGGGAGTGTGATGTGAAATTCGCATTAAGAGTGGTTGTATTGAGTAGATTTTCGAGGATGAAAATATTCTAAGTGGGGAAGAGTTATAACTCCTCTTAATTTAATTAATTAATTAAATTATTTTTGGATTATTTGTTGAAGTTGTGAGATATTGAGAATTATTGGTATAAGTTGTTAGATTATTATTAATTAATTAATTAGTTGATTAATAATAATAATGTTGGAATTAATGAAATAATATAAGATTAAGTTGTTGGGCTTATTTATATGGTGGTATAAAGTAAGTGGGGGTTTGTAAGTTAGGCCAAAATGTGATTACTGAAATAAGGTTAAGCTGATATGAGAAAATAAGTTTTGTCAAGTAGAAGAAGAATGAGGGTTGGAAGAGAGAAAGAGAACGTAGAAGTTGTAGAGAAAAGAGAAGAGAGACAAAGCTAGGTTACACTGAAGAATTGTAGAGGGGTCTCAAATCAAAGGTAAGGGTGGGGTTCTGACTCTATAATGGGAATCATGTTGAATATTATGTACTAACTGGGTTAGTGTAATGTCATTGTATGTGTGTTGTTGTTGTTATTTCTGAAGTTGGTTGTTATCATGTTGTTATCATGTTATGGATGTTTCTGAATTGCTTACAGAATTTACTATCTGTTGATGGAAATTATAATATTGATGATATAGTTTTTATGTTTCTATGTCAATGAAATAATGTGTTGTATCATGTAAT